GAATACTATATAGATATTAAAAGACCCTGGGGACCAAGCCCACAACCCGGGCATGTGCCCTGACTGGGAATCGAACCGTGACCTCTTGGCTCTTGATTCCTAAGTCAAAACTCAACCACTGTACCACACAGGCCAGACCATTGGTTGATTCTTTTTTTTTTTTTTTTTTTTTTTTTTTAGATTTCACATAAGCAAAATCAGTAAGACAGTTTATTGTTTATATTCCGAACGATTATCCATATGACTGATACAATAATATTTCTGAGATGTAAATCACTTTACTCCCCCCTTAAAATACTTAGTGGTTCCCAATAATAAAACTTAAACTCAGCATAACTTTTGTGACTTTTGAATGACTCAAGAAATACTTATTGAGCATCTATTATGTCTAGCCACTTTTCCTCATACTTGAGACACAGCAATGAATTAAATAAGCCTTAAAGATACCTGGAGATTACAGTCTACTGGTGAAATATAGATAATAAGTGATAAATATAATATGTAAACAAATTATCTAGTATATTCAGCCTTATGAGATTGGAATGCGCATCTCCACCACATGCATCCTAACTTTCACCATACCTTACTCTTTTCTTTTTTTTTTCTTTTTTTTTAATATATTTTTTATTGATTAAGATATTACATATGTGTCCTTGTCCCCACATTACCCTCTACCCCCCACCCCGCTCATGCCCTCACCCCCCTGTTGTCCATGTCCATTGATTAGGCCTATATGCTTGCATATAAGTCCTTTGGTTGATCTTTCCCCCTTACCCCCACCCTCCCCTACCTTCCCTCCAAGTCCCGACAGTCCAATCAATGCCTCTCCGTCTCTGGATCAGTCCTTGTTCATCAGTTTATGTTGTTCATTATATTCCACAAATGAGTGAGATCATGTGGTATTTATCCGCTCTCCAGTTCCATCCATGCTGTGGCAAATGGTAAGAGTTCCTTTTTCTTCTTCCTCTTCTTAAAGAATACCTTTCAGCATTTTATATAATGCTGGTTTGGTGGTGATGAACTCCTTTAGCTTTTTCTTATCCGTGAAGCTCTTTATCTGACCTTCTATTCTGAATGATAGCTTTGCTGGATAAAGTAATCTTGGTTGTAGGTTCTTGCTATTCATCACTTTGAATATTTCTTGCCACTCTCTCCTGGCCTGCATGGTTTCTGTTGAGAAATCAGCTGACAGTCGTATGGGTACTCCCTTGTAGGTAACTGACTGTCTTTCTCTTGCTGCTTTTAAGATTCTCTCTTTATCTTTTGCTCTTGGCATTTTAATTATGATGTGTCTTGGTGTGGTCCTCTTTGGATTCCTTTTGTTTGGGGTTCTCTGTGCTTCCTGGACTTGTAAGTCCATTTCTTTCACCAGGTAGGGGAAGTTTTCTGTCATTATTTCTTCAAAAAGGTTTTCAATATCTTGCCCTCTCTCTCCTTCTGGTACCCCTATAATTCTGATGTTGGTACGCTTGAAGTTGTCCCAGAGGTTCCTTACACTATCTTCATATTTTTGGAATCTCTTTTCTTTTTTCTTTTTTGGTTGGGTATTTTTTGTTTCTTTGTATTTCAAATCTTTGACTTGATTCTTGGGATCCTCTTTTCTGCTGCTGGATCTCTGTAAATTATTCTTTATTTCAGTCAGTGTATGCTTAATTTCTAGTTGGTCCTTTTTCATGTCCTCCATGGTCTCACTATACTTATTGAGGGATTCATTAAATTTATCGGCGGTTTCCATAAAATTCTTGAAAAACCTTATAAACGTGGCCTTGAACTCTATATCCAATCGTTTGCTTTCCTCCATTTCTGCCATTTGTGACCTGTTTCTTTGTCTCCGCATTTTGGCAGCTTCCCTGTGTTGATAGAGTGGCCCTGCGCGCCAGGTGTCCTGTAGGGCCCAGTAGCTCAGCCTCCCCAGTTACCTGGGGTGGACACTCTTGGTGCACTCTTGGTGCCTTGGTTGTTGTAGAATCACTGGGAGGAATTGACCTCCAGGCCAATTGGCTGTGAGAATCAGCTGTGTCTAAAGTGGGAGAACTTCTGTGCTGAAGACACCCTTCTGGGGCAAGACTTGCTTCAGTGGGGCTTTGGTGCTCACTGAGTCTGCTCCCTGAGTGTGTCCCTTATGGATCTGAGGAGCTGCAGTCTGGATGGTCCCCCTCTGATCACTGGGTACAGTGTCTCCTGGATCTAAGGAGGTGCTAATTCAGCCTCTGCCTGAGGCCACACAGCAGGAGCCACGAAGAGGCTCAGCTGTGAAGCAATGCAAGCCGCTGCGGGGCCTTGGGCCTTCTCTTGGAAGTTCCGGGTCTGCCTGGCTCGGCTGCAGTTAGGTACATTCACATGCAAAAGCCTCTGCCGCCGCCTGGGTGGGGCGGGGTCTCAGGGAATCAAAGGGCGGATCAAGGAGCTATGGCTGATTCTCCGCCCGGAGTCGCGCGTCTCAGTGACCCGCTAATTGCTGCAAGCACCTCTGAGGGAAAGCCGCCTTCAAGTTCGCCCGCTGCCGGACAGACCAGCTTCTCCCCGTATGAGTCCTGGGTCCCCAGAGACTTCCCGGAACCAGAGTTCAGAGCAGTCGGGAGCTTGTGATTCAAAAAGACAGCCGCGTCCTCAGGTGCCACCCCCTTTCCTCGCGCGCGAGAGCCGGCCGTACCTCTGCACTTGTACCTCTGCACTTCACCTCTGCAGCTCCTCTGGCTCTCAGCGTGCTTTTCTTTCCTTCTAGTTGTAGAATTTACACTCAGCCAGCCTTCCTGTTGTTCTGGATGATGTTTGCTCTGTCCTTTGCGGTAATTTTCAATTGTTGTGTGAGGCGACAATTTCCCAGTGTTTACCTATGCTGCCATCTTAGTTTCTCCTTGATTCTTTTTTTTTAAATTTCTTTATTGTTTAAAGTATTACGTAAGTCTCCTTTTCCCCTTATTGACCTCTCCCAGGCTGCCCCTACCCACCCCCCCCCCGTCTGTGTCCATTGGTTATGCTCATATGCATGCATACAAGTCCTTTGGTTGATCTCTTAACCCCCTCACCCTCCACCGTCCCTCATAGGTTGGGTTGATTCTTGTATGTGCCCTGACCGGGGATCAAACTGGCAACCTTGGCATATCAGATGATGCTTTAACCAACTGAGCAGGGTCATCATATTTTAAAGTGTCAAGATGGCATATAAGCTCTTGGAGAGTAACGGCTTTGATTTTTCCAAGATTTCCCCCTACTGTAACAGGGCCTAGTTCAGGAGGTTAGCGAGGCAGAAGAGCAAAAGCACTGGACTGCAACGTAACAGACCTTGGTGTCAGTGCAGCAGGCCAATACTTAGCATCACCTTGTCTCCGCACCCTACTGTCCTACCTGCCTCAAGGACTTTGGTGAAGACTAACCACATATATGGAAACATTTAAGCCATGCATAAAGTACTACGCAAATGTATTTCATTGTAGCCCAGCTGGTGTGGCTCAGTGGTTGAGCGACAACCCACGCACCAAGAGGTTACGGGTTTGATTCCAGGTCAGGGCACATGCCTGGGTTATGGGCTCCATCCCCAGCAGGGGGCATGCGGGAGGCAGCCAGTCCGTGTGGATGTTTCTCTCTCAGCGATGTTTCTATCTTTCCCTCTCCCTACCTCTCTCTAAAATATCAATAAAAACATATTTAAAAAGAAAATGTATTTCATTGTACTAGTTCCTGAAACCATTCCCTATCGTTTAGCATAGTGGATTATATCTGCCCATAATTACTAAACTAAGTCCAACAGATAAATGTGCCTCTGCAAGGGCAGTGAAGGCAAAGGGAAAGAGAAATTGAGCATAAGCAAAGTGAAGCTTTTCACTGGCAGTTGACAATATGTGCCTGACACTATGGCAGTGATGGCGAACCTATGACACGCATGTCACAGGTGACACGCGAACTCATATTTCTGGTTGATTTTTCTTTGTTAAATGGCATTTAAATATAAAAAATAAATATCAAAAATACAAATCTTTGTTTTACTATGGTTGCAAATATCAAAAAATTTCTATATGTGACACGGCACCAGAGTTAAGTTAGGGTTTTCAAAATGCTGACACGCCGAGCTCAAAAGGTTCCCCATCACTGCACTACGGAGAGAAACCCAAGTGTGGATACAAAAGATTTGTAGGCTAATGATGGCTGTGAGAGTTTCTCAAAGCAATGAGTCTCAATGGGAGTTTGGGGTGGAGGAAGCAATCAGAATCTTGAACAATATTATATTTAGGAAACAAAACTTTATGGGTTTTTTTTTTTTAAATGTAGACCTAAAAACGTTTAGCTGGGCAAAAGCAATTCTTGGCTTGTGGAGAATGGATATCGACTGTATGTCAGTGATTATAAAGATTGGAGGGATGGGAATCACATCTCATCAGAATATTGTGTGTGGGAGGGTTATTCACAAGATTTCTATGTTTAGCAGGAGGTGTGAGCTTTAAAAAAAATTTAAGATATACTCAATGGAATCCCCCACCTTAAATTTGCGTGTAAAATGTTGTGCAGCCCTAATTGGTTTGGCTCAGTGGATAGAGCCTCGGCCTGCGGACTCTAGTGCCCAGCCAACTGAGGTTTCTTTCTCACATCGATGTTTCTCTCCCTCTGCCTTCCTCTCTAAAATCAGTAATAAAAACACACACATATCCTTGGGTGAGGATTAAAAACAAAAGTAATATGTTAAAAAGTAAAACATGCCCACTATGGAAAATAATAATCACAACTGATACCATCACTGAGAGATACTGTTCTCATATATTAGCATTTTGATAGAATTCTTCCCCCAGTTCGATTCCGGTCCCAGGTTCGATTCCGGTCAAGGGCATGTACCTTGGTTGCGGGCACATCCCCAGTAGGGAGTGTGCAGGAGGCAGCTGATCGATGTTTTTCTCACATTGGTGTTTCTAACTCTCTATCCCTCTCTCTTCCTCTCTGTAAAAATTCAATTAAAAAAAATAAATGAAATGTTGTGCAAATGTGTCTTTTTCTTCACTTCCTCCAAGGGATTCAGACTCAAAAAAGGTTAAGAACGACTGCTATAGACCCGGAGAAGAGGAGAGGCCGAAGATCCAGCTCAGGGACTGCAACGGAACTCAGCAGGAAGAAGTGGAGTTTCAGAAACAAGAAAGCGGGGCTGGATGTGACGGTGGCGTTGTGAGGTATACAATGAATTAACAGTAGCTACGTTGTAATGACTGTACTAGTTAATGTCAATTTTATAAAACAAGTGTCTTTTTTTCATTTGTTGTAATGTGTAAGACCTGCACAAAAGGAGTTGTCATTTTGCCCTATACAATGATGACTATTACTGATTAAGTAAAGGAATTGCTGAATATGAACCCTGTATAGCCAAGGGGGAAAGGGTCTAATTTTTTAAAAATTTTAAAATATATTTTTATTGAGTTCAGAGAGGAAGGAAGGAGAGAGAGATAGAAACATCAATGATGAGAGAGAATCATCAATCTGCTGCCTCCTACACGCCCCCCACTGGGGATCGAGCCCGCAACCCGGGCATGTGCCCTTGACCGGAATCGAACCTGGGACCCTTTAGTCTGCAGACTGATGCTCTATCCACCGAGCCAAACTGGCTAGGGTGAAAGGGTCTAATTTAAAAGCATCTGGGAGCGAGCATATACGCAGGCCTGAATGCCTGAGCTATGACCGTGGGAACAGAGGAGCTACTGAAGCTCGCTGGAGATTATGATCTGCTTGGCAAGACTGGGCTTGCACAGAGAACCAGAGTACCAATCAAAACAAAACTGGGTGTCCGGGATATGGGAACATTCAGAATGATATGTCAGTCAGGAACAAACGCCAGGGTCCAGGATATTCAGAAAATTCAGGAATGAAAGATAGCAAAAGAGCCTGTCATCACGAAAAGCCATCTACTAAAAACAGTCCATAAAGGAGCGCCAAGAAAACATTTGAACAAGCTTTTATGTAGAAATTAAACTGCATTCCTCCACTACAAGTTGGGGAGCTTTAGCCACCCATATTGACAGCAGGATCTAAGTTTGAGAGTGCTGGAGAGTCCTAGAGGGCATGTGGGAATTTGTAGGGGGTGTTTTTGGTTATCACAGTGTTGGGAGAAGGGACTATGCTACTGGCATTAGGATCAGGTAAAATTCAGACATCCTGCAATTTTTAACAAGAAATTTCACAAAAGCCCAGCTGTTTAGGTCATCACAGAGAGAGAGGCTTAAATGGAATAGAGACATTGTCTTGATCTTATAAAAGAACATACTTTGCACAATGTCTACTTAATATATTCTAGTACTTCACAAACAATGTAACCAGTTGCAAATGTAATAGGATATTGGAGATTCATTTTAATAGAGGTAGAAACACTAAATGACAGGGGCACATGAAATTTAGAAATCTTACTGGATTTCATTAACAAAGGTTGTTTTATTTATTTATTTATTTTTATTTTTTATTATTTTATTTTATTTTTTTTTTTTTTTAAATGAGATTCCCTAACCAATCATTGGTCATTTCTTTTTTCTTTTTTTTTTTTTAATATATTTTATTGATTTTTTACAGAGAGAAAGGGAGAGAGATAGAGAGTTAGAAATATCGATGAGAGAGAAACATCGATCAGCTGCCTCCTGCACACCCCCCACCGGGAATGTGCCCACAACCCAGGTACATGCCCTTGACCGGAATCGAACCTGGGATCTTTCAGTCCGCAGGCCGACGCTCTATCCACTGAGCCAAACCGGTTTCGGCAACAAAGGTTGTTTTAAACTACTTACTATTTCCATCCTATACTTTACAATTTTTTTTTGGCACAATGAGAAATGTTATGAAAATTTCTTATTTGGGGGTGATGGTTTTTTCCCCATTTTATTCTGATGCTAATCTCATAGATGCACCCCAGGACTCCTCTACAGCCTGTTATAAATCTACCAGAGGCCTAGTGCATGGATTCATTCACATTGGGGTTCCCTCAGCGGGGCTTGCGCCCTCACGCAATCCGGGACCCCTCGGGGGATGCTAGACTGCCGGTTTTGGCCTGATCCCCGCAGTCCAGGCCGAGGGATCCCACCAGAGCATGAATCTGTGCACTGGGCCTCTAGTATGCATATAAGATCTTCCTGCCCTCCCACTCCCCCCCTTCCCTTTGAGACTCATCAGTCTGTTCCATACTTTCATGCCTGTGCGTTGAGCGTCTGCCCCCTGGTGATCAGTGTATGTCATAGCTACCGGTCAAATGGTTGCTTAGGCTTTTATATATATAGATCCTTTGAGATCGCCTGTTATTAAAGGACTAGAGGCCCGGTGCACAAAAATTTGTGCACTTGGGGGGGAGGGGGGTGTCCCTCAGTCTGGTCTGTGCCCTCTCGCAGTCTGGGACCCCTTGGGAGATAACGACCTGCTGGCTTAGGCCTGCTCCCGGGTGGCAGAGGGCAGGCCCAATCCCTAGGTGCAGCCCCTGGTTGGGCTCAGAGCAGGGCCGCTTGGGGAGTTGGGGCACCGCCCCCTGTCATGCACAGAGCAGGGCGGATTGGAAGGTTGCGATGCCACCCTCAGTCACACTCAGGGTAGGGCCGATTGGGGGGTTGGGGCACTGCCCCCTGTCACACTCAAGGCAAGGTCGATGGGGAGGTTGTGGCGCCACCCCGTCACGCACAGAGCAGGGCCAATCAGGGGGTTGGGGCGCTGCCCCCTGTCACGCACAGAGCAGGGCCGATCAGGGGGTTGGGGAGCTCCCCCCCCCCCCCCCGTCACGCACAGAGCAGGGCCCATCAGGGGGTTGAGGAGCTCCCCCCTGTCACGCACAGAGCAGGGCCCATCAGGGGGTTGAGGAGCTCCCCCCTGTCACGCACAGAGCCACAGGGCAATCAGGGGGTTGGGGCGCTGCCCTCTATCACTCACAGAGCAGGGGCGCCTTCACCTGTCACGAACAGAGCAGGGCCGATAGGGAGGTTGTGGCCCTGCCCCCTGTCACACACAGAGCCGAGGGGCGATCAGGGGGTTTGGGTGCTGACCCCTGTCACACTGATCCCGGTGCCGGGAGGCCTCTCAGCTCTGCTGATCCCGGTGCTGGGAGGCATATTACCCTTTTACTATATAGGATAGAGGCCTGGTGCACGGGTGGGGGCCGGCTGGTTTGCCCTGAAGGATGTCCTGGATCAGGGTGGGGGTCCCCACTGGGGTGCCTGGCCAGCCTGGATGAGGGGATGATGGCTGTTTGCAGCTGGTCACATACCCTTCAGGGTGGGGGTCCCCACTGGGGTGCCTGGCCAGTCTGGGTGAGGGGCTGAGGGCTGTTTTCAGGCTGGGACTGAAGCTCCCAACTGCTCCTTTTTTTCTTTTTCTTTTTTTAATTCTGGGCCAGCTTTAGCTCTGAGGCTCCAGCTCTTAGGCCTCCGTTCCTGAAAGCAGGTATCTGGTTTGTTTTGGTTCTCGAAACTCTGTATCAACTCCAGCTCTGAGATCCCAGCCGGCTGAAAGCTGGTTTCTGGGGTTTTGTTTAGCATCTGAATTTGTTACAATGTTTGAAACTGCAGGCTCAGAGGCCTGCAGCGGCCGGCGGGGAAGGTTGGAGTCCTCCGTCACTGAAGCAAGCAAGCCTCATGTTAGTTTCAAGCTGCCTGGCTGCCAGCCGCCATCTTGGCTGACAGTTAATTTGCATATCTCACTGATTAGCCAATGGGAAGGGTAGCGGTCATACGCCAATTACCATGTTTCTCTTTTATTAGTGTAGATAGGGTCTCCAAGGTTTGTGTGTGTGTGTGTGTGTGTATGTGTTTAAGTATTAGAGACTGAATTTATGCCTCACTCGGTGAAATTTCAAAATAGAAAATATATTTTCTGTGATACTTTGTCATCATCTGTACCCTATCTCACAGCAAAACAGGAAATTGTTTAAAAAGAAAAAGTCCAGCTTATTTTTGAGATCACATGCTCCTATTTTCATATCCAATTTCTCCATATTTTTTTAATTTTAAAAGTGAATAATCTGTCTTTCCAGGTTTCCCCCTTCTATTAAAAGTATTTCCCTCTTTTGCTTATCATAAACAAATCAGTCTAGCCTGTTCTTACTTATTTTAATGCAGTTCCTTAAAATGTGGAATTCACCTGTATCTCTGCTCCCTTATATTCCTACACTCTTGTAATATGTAACTTACATTCATTACTAGCATTTTATCTGCAAAGGGAAGAAAGGAAAAAATGATGGAGTCGAGAAATTCCAAGTAGGGAAATGTTTTGGGCCGTAGGGGGAGTACAATTGAGAGTTGACAGTGGATGTGTAAAAGGACAATCAGTGGAAATTGGGCCGCATGAATTTCCACCTGTGATGGTCACCCTGGTTACATGACTCTCCATGACAATGGGCTGCTCAGAAACAGAGAAATCAAAAATGAGGAGACGAGGGCTGATGATGGGCATGGTAAACCTGGTCATGTCACTCCGCTGCTTATAATCCTTCAAAGGTTTTCCATTCCTTAACGTGACCTTCAGGAGCCTCCACCCTCTGGCACTGCCTATTTCTCCAGCCTCTTCTTGTACCACTTTTCCCTTGGCTTTCAAAGTCCCATCACCCTGGCCAATTTCTTCCCTCTTTGTGGCTTTTGCATATACCATTCCTTTCATCTGTCATCCCTTACTCCCACCACCGACCCTTTGCTTCAGCTTAAAACTTACTTCCTCAGAGAAGCCTTTGCTGACCAATCAGAACACTCTATCACTATAGTGTCTCAACATGTGCTTTACTTGTCTTTTTTTTTTTAATATTTTTATTGTTGATAGTATTACAGATATCTCCCATCCCCCACTTTCTCCCCTACTTGTCTTTCAGCATGCATCACCATTACATATTTATTTTCTATACATGCAAATTGCTCCATGGAGGCAGGCACTTGGTCTATCTGTTTAAAATATACATTTTTATTGATTTCAGAGAGGAAGGGAGAGGGAGAGAGAGATAGAAACATTAATGATGAGAGAGAATCATTGATCAGCTGCCTCCTGCACGCCCCCTACAGGGGATTGAGCCTGCAACCTGGGCATGTGCCCTTGACCGGAATTGAACCTGGGACCCTTGAGTCCGTAGGCCAGCACTGTATCCATTGAACCAAACCGGCTAGGGTGGTCTATTTATTGATTGATCAATTCCTAGCATCTAGCCTAGTGCTTATCACCAGCAAGTGAATGAATGGCAGGAAAAGTTAGCTATCAGACCTTGGGCAAGTTTTGTTTCATTTTTAACTACATCTCCATTTTCTTATCTGTTAATAGGGGTAATGATAATAACTATCAACCTCAGAATTGCCATGCAGGTTGAAAGAGACAATTCATGCTTTGCAGGGTGTCTGGCATGGAGTAAGGGCTAGGACAGGGGTGGGCAAACTTTTTGACTCGAGGGCCACAATGGGTTCTTAAACTGGACCGGAGGGCCGAAACAAAAGCATGGATGGAGTGTCTGTGTGAACTAATATAAATTCAAAGTAAACATCATTACATAAAAGGGTACGGTCTTTTTTTTCAATAGTTTTATTCATTTCAAACGGGCCGGATCCGGCCCGCGGGCCGTAGTTTGCCAACGGCTGGGCTAGGACATGTTAGTTATTATTATGAACATTAAACGTAAGCTTGCCTGGCCAGCGTGGCTCAGTGGTTGAGCATCAACTTAGGAATCAGGAGGTCAACCATTCGATTTCAGGTCAGGGCACATGCCTGGGTTGCAGGCTTGGTCCCCAGTGGGGAGGCATGCAGGAGGCAGCCAATCAGTGATTCTCTATCACCATTGATGTTTCTATTTCTCCCTTTCCCTTCCTCTCTGAAATCAATAAAAAATATTATTTAAAAAAAAACCCACATAAGATCTGTGAGCAACCAGAACTCTCATACACTGCTGGTAGCAACGCAAAAAATAATACAGCCACTTTGGAAAACATTTACCAGTTTCTTATAAAGTTACACACACACTCACCACACAATCCAGCAATCCCACTTCTAGGTATACACCCAAGTGAAATGAAAACTTATGGACACAAAAACCTGCACATGAATATGTATAGCAGCTTTATTCATCGTCACTCAAAACTGGAAACAACCCTAACATCCTCCAACCAGGGAATGTATAAGCCCATTGTTGCATAGCCATGTAAGTGGAAATACCACTCAGCAAGAATAAATGAACTACTGATACGTGTAACCGTATGATGAAACCCAATGCATTATGCTAGGCGAAAGAAGCCACTCAAATGGTGACATATGTTTCCATTTATATGGCATGCCAAACAAATCAAATTATAGGGACAGAAATCAGGCCAGTGACTGCCAGGGGAGGGGGTGAGGAATGAGGAAATGTGGATGGGAGGGATGATGGAATTATCATAGGACTTGCTTGTGATGGAAAAAAAAAAAAATCCAAGACAAGTGGATATAATTACATTTTTCTTTTCTTTTTTTTTTACAAATATATTTATTGATTTTTTTACAGAGAGGAAGGGAGAGGGATAGAGAGTTAGAAACATCGATGAGAGAGAAACATCAGTCAGCTGCCTCCTGCACACTCCCTACTGGGGATGTGCCCGCAACCAAGGTACATGCCCTTGACCGGAATCGAACCTGGGACCCTTGAGTCCGCAGGCCGACGCTCTATCCACTGAGCCAAACCGGTTAGGACTACATTTTTCTTTTTTATTTATTTTAAGAGGGGGGAGGGGCATTTATATTCCTGAATATAAAAGGACTTCAGGCTCATTGTAGACATTTTGGGAAAATGTACACTCCATCACCTGCAAAAAAGTACTATTTCTTTGCTATCATTTTGTTTGTTTGTTTTTTGTTAATCCTCATCCACGGACATTTTTCCATTGATTTTCAGAGAGAATGGAAGGGTGGGAGGGGGAGAGACAGAAAACGAGAGAAACGCTGGATGTGAGACACACCCTGACCTGGGCAGGGGATTGAGCCTGCAACCGAGGTACGTGCCCTTGACAGGAATTGAAACCGGGACCCTTCAATCCGCAGGCTGATGCTCTATCCACTGAACCAACTGGCTAGGGATTTGCTATCATTTTTATAGGCACAAAATATACACATACAGACTGGGACAATACTGTACATTTTTGCTTTCTGAAATATACATTTTGCTTTCTGAAATATTTTATGCACGTTTCCATGTTATTAAATAATTTTAAAAACTATGCTTTTATGAACCCATTGTATAGCTGATTTATATTTTAACCCTTCCTTTATTGTTAGAAATTACGCTGATTCCATCTTTTCTTTACTACAACTCTGATAAAATGAAATTTTAGGAAAATCTCAGAGGGGCCAGGCACTCTGCCATCACAGGGTTTCACAATGTGTAACTGGTGAAACAGCTCTGCCTTTGGCTGCAATTCTCTCGTCGTCTTAAGTGTCTGGGGGAAGAGCGGTTCCACAGGGTGATCTGGCCTCTTTTTTTTCGTGGTGCATGAGAAACAGGCACCCACATATTACCTGTATTACTAGCTTAAATTTGCATAGTGCTTTTTATATGTAACCGTCCCCACATCCTTGCAGGCAAGCAGAGGGAGTCATGTGTTCAGGATCACACAGACGCCAGCTGTTCAGAGTCTCAGAAAGTAAACAGCTCCCCTTGGAGGGGCACTGACGACGCTGGACCTCCCCCTGCCCACGCTCACCCCAAGGAGCTGCAGACTCCCCCCGAAATCTCTGCCTGCAGGCCTCACACCAGGGGAACTTAACTCTGAACATGGACACTGTCCCATCCGACATGTTGTCTTTGGCAACACTGCCACTACCAGCTGGGGTCATTTCTCCCCCGATGGCAGGGGCACCTACTGCCATTGACCAAGGGGGGGCCCTGGGAGCTGAAGGACCCCCGGCTTCGGGGCCCGAGGGGGTGGCTGTCGGTCGGTCGCCACGGTGCGAGGGCACATCCTCACCGGGGGGTCCTGCAGTGTCCGCGCCCTTCGGCGAGAGGACGACGGCCCCCTCCTCGTCGGGTCAGGGCTGTCCGGGAAGAATCCGGAATGTGCCCAGCTCGCCTCCTCCGGGCACCCGGAGGTCAGTCCTCCGCTATCCCAGAATGCCTCGCATCCCGGAAGTGCCGCCTTCCCGGAAGTTCCCGGCTAGCTGGCCGAGCCGGAGCTCGCTGCAGCGCTGCCCGCCGCGGGGTATGGTTCTGCGGTTTGGGTGACCGCAGGAGGCCCGACCCGGGGCCGGGGTGTGCGTCCGGAGGAGCTGGGCGGCGGGATGATGGAGGAGGAGGACCTGGAGTTCGTGGAGGAGCTGGAAGCGGTGCTGCAGCTCACGCCCGACGTGCAGCTCGCCATCGAGCAGGTGAGCGTTCCGCCCCCTGAGGGGAGGGGAGTGCGGGGGACGGGGCGCTGCGGGGGTGGGACCTGGGGTGGCCCGAGGTGGGAGTCAGGCACGGAAGGGAAGGGACAAGTGTTGGGGGAGGTGGTAAAGGGAAGGGGCTCCTGGATCGAGGGGCGGCGGGAGAGAGCCCTTTCTCGGCCTGGGTTGTCTTTGGAGGGGGCATCCTCCTGCGTTTGGGCCAAGCAGCGGTGCTTCCCGAAGGGACGGACCTGGAGGTGGACTCCTGGCCCGCAGCCCAGGGTTTGGGGGTGTAGAGCTGTCCCTGCATTCGCCAGGCTGCTGTGCCGCGGCTCCCAGGTCTCAGCCCAGCCCCTGGGGCGTGACTCCGAATTGACGGGAGAGCGTAACTTCGATTCCCGAAGCGGATCGAAGAGCAGAGGGGACATGTTGGACCAGGACCCCGTTATCGGGCTTACGTGGCTGACAGCTCCTGCCGTTGCTGTGTTGGGTGAGGTTGAAGACTATTCGCAGGAGGCCTCCCTTCCCTGTGGGGACTCTCTAGTTGCCCAAATTCTCTTTTCAAGTCTATTGAGTTTTTAAGAGTATTGCTATTAAAAATAGTGATTCAGACCAGCGATTTTGTTTTAAACCGGTGTGCCATGAGAGGAAAAGGTTAAAATCGCTCATTTAGATCCTTACAGAGCGGTGGTTCTCAGCCTTCCTAATGCCGCGACCCTTTAATCCAGCTCCTCATGTGGTGCTGACCCCCAACCATAAAATTATTTTCGTTGCTACTTCATAACTGTAATTTTGCTACTGTTATGAATCATAATGTAAATATCTGATACGCAGGATGTATTTTCATTGTTACAAATTGAACATAATGAAAGCATAGTGATTCATCACAAAAACAATATGTAATTATATATGTTTTCCGATGGTCTTAGGCGACCCCTGTGAAAGGGTCGTTCGACCCCCAAAGGGGTCGCGACCCAGAGGTTGAGCACCGCTGTTATAGAGGGTACTGCTCCTGGTAAAAGGAGAAGAGGTCTCTTAGTAGAGTTTTAGGTGTGTTTTTCCAGGAGTGGTTGGCTTACCCATCCAAAGCTCACTTGGCTCATCCTGAGGGTGCCAGCCCATTGAGCACAGGTTTTGGTGTTCAGGCCACACTGCTCCCCACCCACCTCCATTTGCAAAAAAAAAAAAGAAAAAAAAAGTATTTCGTTTGCTCTTTGAACCTAGTGGGCTCTAATAGAAGAAGCAAATCAAACAGTCAGTTATTGTTTGACAAGGATTTTAAGACATAGTTTTACTATTAATAATATTGAGTTCTAGCACAGGTTCATCTAATAATCAGAAAAGAGTTTGCTAACCAGAATAACTATACTGAGCTGGTGAAATACCAGGGGATCACTCGATTACTTTTATAATCCACCTTGTTCAAGTTGCAACTTTTGAAGGGAGTTAGCCATGTTTCCATGGCAGCATTCCTTTTCCTCTTAGAGACAGACAGTTCCTCATTGCCAGCTCTTCACTTCCTGACACTGTGTAAACCATAAAAATCGCTTCAGTGCATAGCAGATTCTATTGCTGAGACATAGTGCATTATGTCTCTTTTTTAATATGTTGTTTTAATATACTGTTTCTATCAAGACTCTTAAAATATATTGTTTTATTGATTTTAGAGAGAGGGATAGAGAGAGAGAAACATTGATGAGAGAGAAACATGGATAGGCTGTCTCCTGCACACCCCAACACTGGGGATGGAGCGTGTAACCAACCCCGGGCATGAGCCCTGACGGGGGAATTGATCTGTGAGCTCCTGGTTCAGGGGCAGATGCTCAAACACTGAGCTACACCAGCCCCGGCCAGGCAAGACTTTCTTAAAGATACAATCATGTCATCAGCTGGCTTAATCTTATTTGCACAATGCCCACTTATTGGCATTTTGTTGATATCTGTGGAACTTTTCACTGTTTCATATTCTATTCTGTTAGTTGCACCAAGACCTAAGATGTTAAAATTACAGGTGTTGGTAAAAATTAAAGATTTTATTTTAACATTTTTTTTTCTTTTGCACATTTTTAATTTTGTAACAACATTTATAATATCATTACTGTTGCTCTTCAGGGCTCAGATTGACTTTGCTCTTGACACATTTGCTTGTGCCTTGACTGTTGGGGTCCAGCCCCAGCAGGTCCAGGGGTTCCCATAGGTGGGGACGGAGTTGGCGAAGAAGGAATGACATGGAGACAGTTTTCAGTTGATCAGCAGCTTAGCCAGGTTCTCTAGTCAGGATCTCCAGCCAAGTTCTGTCTTATTTTAACATTTTATTGAACGTCTAAGCCTTATAAAATGAAAAAAAAATTTGATTTTTGCCTTTTCCACCCAATAGAGAGGAAAGAAATAATACATAAAACAAGACAGAAAGATGATGGTCATTTCTAATCCCCTGTCTTTATATAGGTATTTCCAAGCCAGGATCCTCTAGATCGAGCAGATTTCAATGCTGTGGAGTATATCAATACCCTGTTCCCCACGGAGCAAGTAAGTATGCAGTTTCCTTCATTTTAGTGGCTTCTGGCTCTTCTTGAGTGTTATGATTGATGTGTTATTCTATAAAATCGAAGGAGCCATGATAAAGAAGGAGTGTTAAATTGAAATCAAACTTCATTGTAACCAGGGGAGTAGCTAATATCAAATACTGTTGTTAGAGTGGAATTCTTTGTAGAGTGAGTATATTATTAGAAATTATACCCTTAAATACTTTCCACACACTGATATTTGCTGGACTAATCTTAAGCCTCTACCCCCCAAATATTACATACATATCCTAGCACCAGTCTTAAATAAATTAGGTTTTAGTAGTGTTTGCTGTATAAATAAAGGATGAAAATAAAGGTTTTAATATTTTTTTTCTCACACCCTAATGGGTATTATGGCAACCCCTTGGGGATGCACACACCCTCCTCTGGAGATGCTGTTCTGGGCACTGGGTATTCACAAAAGGATTCTTGACAATAATGACTGGATCAGGTTCACATTTAAAAAATTCCATCTGGCCCTGGCCGATTTGGGTCAGTGGTTAGAGCATTGGCCCTCAGTTTGAAGGGTCTTGGGTTCGATTCCTGGTCAAGGGCATGGACCTCAGTAGCAGGTTCAATCTCCGGCCCTGGTTGGAGCTGTGCAGGAGGCACCCAGTCAATGTCTCCCTCTCCCATCAATGTTTGTCTTCCCATCCTTCCTCCCTCCCACTCTCTCTCTAAAGATCAATAAAAAGAATATCCTCATGTTAGAGATAGACAGTTCCTCATTGCCTCAATACTCAGGTGAGTATTAAAAAGTTTTTTTATCCGGCCCTGGCCAGTGTGGCTCAGTTGGTTGGAGTGTCATCACATACACCAAAAGGTCAGGGCACATACCCAGGTTGCGGGTTTGATCTCCCATTGGGGTGTGTATGGGAGGCAGCCAATCAATGTTTCTTTCTCACATTGATATTTCTCTCCCTCTTCCTTCCTCTCATTAAAAACAATCCTATCCTATATAAAAGGTCAGGACCATAAGCATAACGACTGGAACGACTGCTCAACCAGTCGCTGTGAGGTGCATTGACCACCTCTCGGTCCCTCCTCCATCCTGAAGGTTCTGATCACAGCATGATGAACGGGGAACCGCGAACGTGGGGTGGGGGTGGGGGAGGAGGACTGGGGATTGTTGGGTTGCGAGCAGTGGTGAGTGTCCAGTGGCAAGCTGTGGGGCATTGTGGGGGTGGTGAGCGTCACGGGGAGGCGAGCGTTGCAGGGCAGCATGGGGTGGGGAGCTTTGCAGAGCATCTTGGGGCGGCAGTGGTGTTGAGCGTAGGGGAGCGTTGAGCATCGCAGGGTGTCACAGGGCGGCGGCAGTGAGGGGCAGTGTGGGGCAGCGGACGTGGCCCTGATTGCAGGCTAGGCCTAGGGACGCTGCTCATGCGCAATTTCGTGCGCTGAGCCTCTAGTAATCAATAAAAACATATCCTTGGGTGAGGATCAAAAAATATTCCATCTGGCAAAAACGTGGAGGGTGAAATGGGGGGAGGCAGAACTGGAGGCAGGAAACCCAGTTAGCAAACTGCTGTGACAGATCACTTAAGAGAGATGATGAGAGCCCTGGCCGGTTTGGCTCAGTGGATAGAGCGTCGGCCTGAGGACTCAAGGGTCCCAGGCTCGATTCCGGTCAAGGGTATGTACCTTGGTTGCGGGAACATCCCCAGTGGGGGATGTGCAGGAGGCAGCTGATTGATGTTTCTAACTCTATATCCTCTCCCTTCCTCTCTGTAAAAAATCAATAAAGTATAGATTAAAAAAAAGAGAGAGAGAGAGATGATGATGAGAGCGTCAGTAGAGACCAGGATGGAGAGAACAAGATTCAAGAGCTATTTAGGAGGCACAAGACAGAATTTGGTAGTTGAAGGGATGTAGAATCTGAAATCATTCATTTACTCAACAAAAAACACCTCCTCTGCTTCCCTCTGTACGAAATTTGTGGCCAGAGGAATGGAAAAGGCAAATACCCTCCTTCCCAATATAGAGCTTCCAGTCTAATAAAACCATTAGCTGGTTATAAGCAAATTATTATGCTTCACAATTACTTGTTCGTATAACTATTAATTATTTGTTGCTTGCTGTCAAAAGAGTTCTCACTTTGAGTACAAGGGTAATAATAGATTATATTTATTGGATGCTTACCATGCACCAGGCACTATTCTAAACACATAACAATGGTAAGTTCTCACTTTGTTAACATGCTTGCTTTACGATGAGAATAATGAGGCACCGAGAGTTAGAGGATGCCCAGCTACATATGATAGAATTGCCACGAAGGAAACATGCTCCATTACTGTGAAAACAGAGCATGCACCTGAGGGACCCAAAAGGGCTTCCATGAGGAAATGACATTTAAGCTGTGCGTTATAGGCCAAATGAAGGATTTTGGACTTTGATTTCTAGCCTGGCAGACGAAGTGGGCGTTAGCACCTTTACCCTATATTGGGAGTAGGAAGAAAAACAGGTTTCAGTGGCAAATAGGCTAGTAGGAGGATGTAAAGGTGAGCTCATTTTGGAACATATTTGGGGCATCCACGTAGAAATATGTGGTTGGGTAGTATTTGAATCTGAAGTTCATAATCCCCATAATTGTTACTATCTTGGCATAAACCAGCTTTTTCTAATGGACATGTTAATTTTTAAAATAAAGTTGGAAAACATGGCATCCTACTATGTGATTTATCTCTTTTGAGATTTCACAGATAGCCTTTAGCGCTCACATTTTCTTTGTTTTTTATTTAAAAATGATATCAGAAATTTATTAAAGTGTTGTTTTTTAATCCTCACCAGAGGACATGTTTTCACTGATTTTTTTTTTTTTTTTGAGAGAGAGAGAGAGAGAGAGAGAGAGAGAGAGAAACATCAATCAGCTGCCTCCTGTAAGCACCCTGAAAGTAGGTGGGAATTGAACCCACCACCTTTCCGTGTTTCCGTGTACTAGAGGACGTACAGCTCATCATTTTCTATGAAAAAGGAATTCTGGGAATTAGCTGGACATGGAAATTTGGGAACAACTGATATAGAGATAGTTTTAAACATGAAAATATTTCATTTACCCCACCCTATTAAGGTTGCTGACCCACTAAAACAAAGTATGTGTTAGATTTGAAAATTGTATAGGAAACCACCAGGTTCTTACATCTTACTGATATGTTGTTATACTTGTTTTTAAACTACTGTAGGGAGCACAAGACATCCAGATTTAGTTATGTGTCTCGCCTTATGTCCCCATGTACATGATAATGTGTTGTGAAATTTCTTAGGTGACTCAGAAAATTTATGACCCAGGGTTACCTTTATATCCCCAATCCCAGATTTACACTTAGCAATTTATCCCAGATTTCCATGGACCTTAAGGAAAGGTAATAAAAAGTAGTGGCATGATTTATAATTTCTTTCAGCTATTGCTATATCTTGGGCAAAACCCATCTCTATGCCTCATGGACCTGCAGTAAATACTTGTGAATTGCCCTAACCGGTTTGGCTCAGTGGATAGAGCATCGGCCTGCGGACTGAAAGGTCCCAGGTTCGATTCCGGCCAAGGGCATGTACCCTGGTTGCAGGCACATCCCCAGTAGGAGGTGTGCAGGAGGCAGCTGATTGATGTTTCTCTCTCATCGATGTTTCTAACTCTCTATCTCTCTCCCTTCCTCTCTGTAAAAAACTCAATAAAATATATTTTTTTAAAAAAATACCTGTGAATTATGAATTTAGAATATTTAAAGTATGTCAGTGTATCAAGAATAAATTCACACACTCCGAGGAGGAGGGTGTGAAGGTGTCTCTATTCAGTGGCAACTACTGCGTGTCTGTGTGGACTGGAACAGATCCCCAGATGTTTCTAACTCACCAGGTCCAGGTGTGGGGAATGTGGGTTTCTGTATATAACAGAGCTTCGTGGGTGGTTCTGAAGAGTAGCTGGGCTTCCAGTCTCCTAGTAGAAAACTGAAGATGACAATTGTCATGTTTTCATTAGAGGTTTGATTAGGGAAACTAGATGAAATTTATTTTAAAAAATAGAATTAAGCCTGGCTGGCGTGGCTCAGTGATTGAGCATTGACCTATGAACCAGGAGGTCATGGTTCGATTCCCAGGTTACAGGCTCGATCCCCAGTAGGGGGCATGCAGGAGGCAGCTGATCAATGATTCTCTGTCATCATTGATGTTTCTCTTTCTCTCTCTCTCTTTCCCTCTCCCTTCCTCTCTGTAATCAATAAAAATATATTGTAAAAAATAAAATTAAGAACTTTGAAAAAAAGAGTTATATGGAGCTGTTTATACAGAATTTTTTTATTTTTTATTTTTTATTATTAGTTAAGGTATTACAAATGTGTCCTCATCCCCCCCATTAACCCCCAACCTCCTTCCCCCCCCGCCCCGCCCCGCACACTCATGCTCCCATCCCCCTGTTGTCCATGTCCATTGGTTTGGCTTATATACATGTATACAAGTCCTTCGGTTGATCTCTTCCCCTTACCCCCGCCCTCCCCTACTTTCCTTCTGGGGATTGATAGCCTGATCTCAATCTTTGGGTCTGTCCCTTTTCATCAGTCTATGTTGTTCTCTATAATCCACAAATGAGTGAGATCGTGTGGTATTTATCTTTCTCTGACTGGCTTATTTCACTTAGCATAATGCTCTCCAGTTCCATCCATGCTGTGTTTATACAGAATTTTTAATGATTCCCTCAAAATGCATGCATCTGTGTGGTTCAGAGTAAAAAAGATGTCAAATTGCTTATCATCTCAGTTTAATTTTTTAAAAAGCCATATAGTATTTGCATAGAAGGAGCAGTAGAAGGTAATATACCAAAATGCTAATGGTGATTATACTCTGCTGGGGATGAGTGTGATTTTATGTATTTCCTGTAATCAACAAGAATCACCATTAAAGTCAGGAAATACTTTTCAATAATTAAGACATTTGTAAGCGATGGAATTAACACTGTGCAGCCACATTACAACAGAACTAGAAGAATGATTCTCAAAGAGTAGATGTATCATCTCCACCCAGGGTAGCCAATCTGGATTCCTATGGGGCGTTTTCCCAACTGCCAGAGAGGCCTCAACCCCGGTGAGAATCATTGTTATCGAGAGGCACTGAGCTGATAGCAGGGAGTGTGTCATATCCCTCAGGTGTGTTGGGATGCAGAAAAACTAGGTCAGGAACCATTGTATTAGAGGTAGCATGGTAGAGTAAGAAAGAGTGAAGACCCAGGAGTCAGACCTCCACCAAATCCAGCCTCCGTGACCTTGGACAAAGTATGCTTTCAGGGCCTATTGTCCATTCTTTATACTGAGGAGGAAAAGAGCCTGGTAAGAAGATTAAGGGAAATCATTTTTGTAAAATGTTCAGAGGAGTATTGCATAACAGATCCACATTAAATGTTAGCACCCTTCTCCCTTTTGCTTCCCCAGTAGAAAATCTGGACGATAAAGAGCAAGTAGTCCACCTAACGTGCAGTCGTTATAATTTTCTTGTCTTTTAAAAGTTGTATTCATGGGGTACTTGGTATTTTTACGTGTTTTCCCCATTATTAGCATGTTATCTTAAGTGATATTTGTTTCAGAGTCTCCCTGGCCAGTGTCTTTAGTGGTGGGACAAAAGTCCATCAAATATATATGGCCTAATTTATTTAATTTTTCTGTTGAGGGCCCTTTAGGTCATTCCCTGTGCTTTTTGTTTGTTTGTTTGTTTTTCTTTTTATATTGTCTAAAGTTTTACATATGTCTCCTTTTTCCCCAATTGGCCCCTCTCCCCCAGCCATTCCCACCCGGGCAAGCCCCCACCGACCCAGTGTCCATTCCCTATTTGTGTGTGTGTTTTTAAAAAATATATATTTTTATTGATTTCAGAGAGGAGGGCGAGGAGGAAAGAGATAGAAACATCAATGATGAGAGAAATTTGATTAGCTGCCTTCTACATGCCCCACACTGCAGTCTGAGCCCACAGCCTGGGCATGTGTCCTGACTGAGAATGAAAATGTGACCTTCTGGTTCACTGGTCCATGCTCAACAGGTTTGCTGACCAGGTTTGCATTTTTTTTTAATATTTTAAAATTGATTTTCAGAGAGAGAAGAAGGGAGAGGGGAAGAGAGAGAGAGAAACAGCAATGTGACATCACATCCATGAGCAGCCTCCCACACACCCTCTGCTGGGGATTGAGCCTACAACCTGGGTATGTGCCCTGACCTGGATTCAAACCAGCAACCTCTCAGTGCATGGGATGATGCCCAGCCAGCTGAGCCACACAGGCCAGAGTGTTTTTTGCTTTTTAAAATAAATGCAGTTGAACATCTGAAAGCATAATATATTTTGAATTATTCTTTTCGGGAAAATTGTTATGACTTAAGCAAGACCTTCATGTCTACAGAGTATTAAATTTAAGCAATAATTACTGTACCACCAAACATCAATATTTGCTGATGTGGAATGATCTTCAAGTTATATTAAGTGAAAAAAGCATGGTACAGGACAATGTGCATTTATGTAAGGAAGGGGATATAAGTTATGGATCTGCTTCAGATACATAGACATCTCTAATGTGCCAAAGAAACTGGCCCAGAGCCATTGCCTCTGGCGAGGAGAACTGGGAGGTGGACGGGCAGAACAGGGGAAAAGAAGCCTTGCTTTCCACTGTCTGCCCTTTTCTGTTTGAATTTTTGGTCCTCTACATGTTTTATCAGTTTAAATAGATTACAATTTTAAATTTTGAGATAATTTTGTATTTGTAGAAAAGATGCAAGAATAGTACAAAGAATTCATGGCTGTCCTAGCTGGTTTGGTTCAGTGAATAGAGAGAGCTTCGGGCCAGGAACTGATTGGCTGCAGGTTCCATCTGGTCAAGGGCATGTACTTCAGTTGCAGGCCCTGTCCCCAGCCCTGGTCGGCGCATGTGGGAGGCAACCAATCCATGTGTCTCTCTAACATCAATGTTTCTCTCTGTCTCTCCCCCTCCCTTCCACTTGCTCTAAAAATTAATGGAAAAATATCTTTGGGTGAGTATTAACAAAACAAACAAAAAAACAGAAAGAATTCATGGCTACCCTTCATCCCCAATTTCCCAAATGTTAACATTTTTTAAATAGTTTTTTTAAGTACCAAAATTGTTTTTTAAAAAAGGAATGGGTTCCAGCAGAGATAAGCCAGGTGAGAACTAGTATGCCTGTTTTGCATATGAGGAAATAGAAACTCAGAGAGGTTAAACCTCTTGCCCTCTAGACATACAGCAAATTTGTTTGTGGCAGAGATTTGCCAAACCCACGTCCTCTGACAACTCAGGTTCTGTCACCACCGTGGTGATTTATACTCAGTCTGGTTTTGCAATGACAACTTGACAGAGGATTCCTCAATTAAAATAACTCTCTTTTCTGAGATTTATTGTTACCTCAGTCTGTTCTTGGGTTTCTGAAATTCAGAGTAACCATTGGCTTTGTCAGAACAGTAGACAAGATGTGAATGGCCCCATCTGACATCTCAAACACTTGTGACCTGATTTCCTTACCAGCCCTGCTCCCGGCAGGAGCCTGGTCTTCTCCTGCCAGCACAGGTTGCTGGTAGCAGTTCCTACATCACCCCCAGTTCTTGCTCAGATAAAATATCTGTTGGTAAAAGAGAGAGAGAGGAAGAGGACTGGTGCCTAAGTGGTTAAGAGTGTCGGCCTTCACACCTAAGGATTTTGGGTTTGATTCCTGGTCAAGTTCCCATTCGGGACATGTGCAGGAGGCAGCCAATTGATCTCTCTCTCTGTCTGTCTGTTGTCTCTCTCTCTCTCTCTCTCTCCCTCTACCCCCCCCTCCCTTCTTCCCTTCCACTCTCTCTAAATCAATGGGAAAAAATATCCTCTGGTGAGGACTAACCCTCCCCCCCCCCCCCCAAAAAAGTGCTATTAAGTTGTACCATCTCTATTCCATTAGGGGGCACCATTTCCTCACATTTTTTGCTCCCTAATGTTGGAACTAGTCCATTTGTTTCTATTGTCATTGTCTTAAAAACAGAAATACCTGTATTATAATTACAGTAGCAGTGCATAGTCAATATAGAGCAGTTAGAAAATACTCAGGCAAAAAAAAAATTTTAAATCTTTCCTTTTCATGGATTACAGCTACTGCTACTGATATCATAGATTCTAGCTACTAATATAGATTACAAGTTCTAGTATTTATCATTCCAGACTATTTTCTAGTGGATCTATACACTTAGAAAAAATAGATATATTTATTTATTAAAGAGTAACATAACATGGAAGAGTACACAGATCTTAAGTGTATAGCTTGATGAATTTTCACAAAATGAATTCAGCCATGTAACTACCACCCAGATCAAGAAATAAAACATCTTCATGCCTTAGTCAGTTTGGCTCAGTGGATAGAGCGTCAGCCTGCAGACTGAAGGGTCCTGGGTTCGATTCTGGTCAAGGGCACGTGCCCAGGTTGTGGGCTCGATCCCCAGTAAGGGGCATGCAAGAGGCAGACAATCAATGGTTCTTTCTTATCATTGATGTTTCTATCTCTCCCTCTCCCTTCCTCTCTAAAATCAATCTATCTATCTATCTATCTATCTATCTATCTATCTATCTATCTATCTATCTATATAAAAGAAGAAATAAAACATCTTTAGATGACCCTGTCTTGCCTGCTCATAGTCACTGTCTCCTCCAAAGATAACCACTATCTTTGCTTCTAAAACGAGAGAATAGTTTCACTCATTTTTTAACTATAAAAATGGGATCCTACTGTATATACTCTTGTTGTCAAGCTTTCTTTTGTGTGCAACATTATATTAGTAAGATTTATCCATGTTGTATGTATGTTCATTCATTGCTATATTTGTTGTATGAATTTTTTATGATTCTATATATCAGGGGTCAGGCAAAATAATAAATATTTTAGGATTTGTGGACCATTCAATCTTTGTTGCAATTACTCAACTTTGTAGTTCAAAGCCAACTGTAGATAATATGTAAGTGAATGGGTATGGCTGTGTTCCAATAAAACTTCGTTTATAAAAATAGATACCAGGCTGGATTTTGCAATCGTTGCCAATTTCCACTATACTTTTTTTTTTTTAAAGTAAAAATTGAATTGTACTCTCTGATTACATTTTCTGAGATGTCATCAATAGCCATTATAGTTCATCATTTCCCTGTAAAAGAGGAATTCCAGGAAGCGAAATAATAGCTGGCACTTTTCCTTCTTTATTGTAGTCTCTGGCAAACATAGACGAAGTTGTGAACAAGATTAGACTGAAAATAAGGTAAGTAATACTATATGATTATTAATAATGAAAAATATGCTTCATTATCTGAAATCTCACTTTTGCTATAAATGGTCATTTGAAAGAAAAATAATTCTTTTTATGTGGGTTTTCATACAAGCCTGTGGCAAAGACCTCAATTCTTTGATCAGTCTTCAATTATTTGTTAAAAGGGAAGAAAACTGTAACAGGCTATTCAAAACAGTTGTTATAAAAGGAGGCAAAAGCATTTTTATATATTTTTTAACCATTTGTATGCCATAAGTGTCTATAGACGCAAATGGCAGACCTTTTTAAATTAAATTCAAAATATCGTGGCGGCTAACTGATTAAAATTGATTTTAGAAGGAGAGGAAATGAGAGAGTCTAGAAAGAGAGAGAGAGAGAGAGAGAGAAACATTGATGTTAGAGAGAAACAAGGATCCGTTGCCTCTCATACACACCTTAACCAGGGATCAAACCAAAACCTGGGTATGTGCCCTGACCAGGAATCAAACGCTGGGCCTTTCGGTGTACAGGACGATGCTCTAACCCACTGAGCAACACTGGCCAGGGCAGCATTTCTACTATATTTGTAATGGCTTTATTTTCTTAGTAGATTTACTTTGTGTGTGTGTGTATTCCTAAGGCTTAGATATGAATATGGGCTTATATGTATACACATACATGTATACACATATATTGGCCACATACCAGTTACCAATGAGGTTAGATCTGCTGGTTGGTATGGGTGGTGGCCCAAGATTAAACATCGTGATTAATCTAGGATGTGATTGTCTAGGGTGGTCATCAAGTGTCCTTCGTGCCCAGTAGCCTTGTTCTGGTTTGTCCACATCTGAATTTCCAGTTTTAACACGTGGTAGATACTCAGTGTTTATTTATTCATTATAATTATTACCATAACTAGTGGCCCGGTGCATGGATTCATGCATATTGAAAGGAAATTAATTAGAAAAAATATTTTAATATTGTAGTCACCCTTTCTCTATAATAGAAGTGTCAAAGGTGAAAGAAAGTTAGTAAAATGTATATTAGTAAATGTTATCGGCAGTAAACCAGATTTGGGGCCGACAGTGCCCCAGCAATCCACAGCCAAAGGTGGAATTGCGCGGCCCCTCAAGGAATCAGGCTCCCTCCTCTCTGGTTCTGGGGTGCGTCACCCGAGAACCGCAGCTGCCATGTCACCACAGCTCGGCAGCACCTGCTTTGAGTGTCTGCCCCCTGGTGGTCAGTGCGCATCATATGTACTGGATGGTCAGATGGTCACTTAGCCTTTTTTATATACAGATATCTACACTAATAAAATAGAAACATGCAAATTGGAGTTACTCCGCTATGCCCACCAGCCAGTCAGACGAGTATGCAAATTAACCCAACAAAGATGGAAGTTAATTTGCATATACAGGCGCAGAGTGAAGACTGAAGACAATGTAGAAAGGAGCCAAGTGCTGCAGAAGGAAGCGAAGCTGCGAAGCAAGCGGGCTGGCAGAGATGGGAGGGAAGCAAGCGGGGTGGCGGAGGCGGGAGCGAAGCCCACCTCGGTGGGTTTCACTCCCTTCTCTGCTTTACTCCGGCTGCAGGAAGCCCTATTTTTGCAGGAATATTCCTGCAGTGGGCCTCTAGTGTATATATTTGTGCACTCAGGGGGTGGGGGGGGTCCCTCAGCCCGGCCTGTGCCCTCTTGTAGTCTAGGACCCCTCGGGGAAAGACCACCTGCTAGCTTAGGCCCGCTCCCCGGGGGATTGGGCCTAAGCTGGCAGTCAGACATCCCTCTGGAAGCCTCGGGGGATGTCCACTTGCCAGCGGGGAGCAGGCCTAGCTGCAGTCGGACATCCTTAGCGCTGCTGAGGAGGCGGGAGAGGCTCCCACCACCACCGCTGTACTGGCAGCCGTCAGCCTGGCTTGTGGCTGAGCAGAGCTCCCCCTGTGGGAGCACACTGACCACCAGGGGGCAGCTCCTGCATTGAGCGTCTGCCCCCTGGTGGTCAGTGTGTGTCATAGTGACCAGTGATTCCCAGTCGCTCTGCTGTTAGGGTCAACTTGCATATTACCCTTTTATTATATAGGATATATATATATATATATATATATATATATATATATATATACACACACATATATATATACACACACACACACACACACACACACACACATACACACATATATATATTTATATATATTTGTAATTAAACATATTAACTGTAGATTTGCTTTTTAACTTTTGATGAGAAGAAGCCTTTATTTTGAATCCAGGAGATTTTTCCCCCTTTGGATTTTTTTGGTGAAGACCTCTATTGTTAATGTTTTGTTGAATTGGATGCCTTAAGAAGTGCAAAGAAGCCAGTTCATCGTTTGGTAGACTTTTGCTATAACAATTCTAGTGGAGACCACTAAGTTGTCTAGGGTTTGCACAAGTAATGGAAATTCTCTGATGATCCAGAAATCACTTGTGAGCCGGTTATTTTCCTTCTGCTCGCAGACCTTTAATGGATTCTTCAAGTAAAATGGAATTGACTAAAATAGATGTCTCTGGTTGAGACATCATTAGTGGCCCCTGTTGAGCCCCTGGAGAAAGAGGAGCTAGAGGCTACAAGCCTGTCTCCTGCATAGGTTGCACAATCAGGGCCCGGAAGGTAAAGGACTGATTTCGTATATTACCCTGGCTCCTTATCCCTTTTAAGGTTCTGGAGGAAGTTTCTGAGGAAGGAATTTATGTGGGGTAATTTGGATTCTCTGGCTTCTTCCCATAAAGTTTAAGCAACTTTCTCATTTTTGGTTTATTCCATGAAAAATACTAAAAGTTATATGGGTCTTTTGGACACTCTGAATACTAAGTGAAAACAGCCCTTTTTTTAAAAACAGAGGCAACTCGTCAGGCTATGCTGGGCTTGGCTTTTTACACTACTGTTAGGCTCCACTTGGGCCCAAGGCCTCAGTGTTTCTTATATCATTCAAACTTGTTTGATTTTCTGGACAAGTGGGTACAATCTGCAGAAGATGCTGGATAAATTACTAACTCTTGCTCTTTTGATTAGCCCAGAATAGAGATTATTTTAATGATTTGTATTCTTTAACTTTTTTTACCAGGAGACTGGATGACAATATTCGAACTGTTGTAAGAGGTCAAACAAATGTGGGACAAGATGGCAGGCAAGTAAGTAACTTATTCTTCCCTATTCATTGTGCTCCCCTAATGTCTTCAGAACCCAACTACCAAGTGACCAAAGTGTTGAACTGTCTCCTTACAGAGCATTTTCTTATGGTTCTGTCCTGTACACAGCAGGAAATGTACATGACTTGTTCTACTAGTAATAGGGGTAGGCTGCCCAGACCAGCCATGAACTCTCTCACTCAGTGTTCCTTGAGCCAGGGGCATATCAGCACATCTCACCCAGGCTGGGACATGCAAGCTGAAATGAGAAAACAGAAATCTTCTTATCTTTATCTTTTGTGTGCTGTGTCTAAATGTGGTTGCTACTTTTATCTAGCTTATCTAGCTAAGTTGTTGGGATTTTGGTATTACTTTTGTTACTGGAAAAGATGGCAGTAACCTATGCATCAAAAGACACTATCAACAGCCCTAGCTGGTTTGGCTCAGTGGATGGAGCATTGGCCTGTGGACTGAAGGGCCCCAGGTTCAATTCTAGTCAAGGGCACATGCCTGGCTTGTGGGCTCAATCCCCAGTAGGGAGCATGCAGGAGGCAGCCAGTCAATGATTCTCTCTCGTCATTGATGTTTCTATCTCTCTCTCTCTCTCTCTCTCCCCCTTCCTCTCTGAAATTAATAAAAATATATTAAGAAAAGACACTGCCAACAGAATAAAAAGGCAACCTACAGAATGAGAGAAAATATATGCAAATCATATGTCTGATAAGGGATTAATATCCAAAATATATTGAGAACTCCTAAAATTCAACAACAAAAAACCAAACAGCCCAACAGTGGGCAAAGAACTTGAAGAGACATTTCTCCAAAGAAGATACAAGATTAGTCACTAAGTACATGATGCTCAACATCACTAATTATTAGGAAAATGCAAAGCACACCCAGTAGGATGGCTGCTATCAGAAAAACAGAAAACGCCTGGCCAGCATGGCTCAGTGGTTGAGTGTTGACCTATGAACCAGGAGAACACGGTTCAATTCCTGCTCAGGCCACATGCCGGGGTTGCAGGCTTGACCCCCCAGTGTGGGGTGTGCAGGAAACAGCTGATCAATGATTCTCTGTCATCATTGATGTTTCTATCTCTCTTTCCCTCTGCCTTCCTCTCTGAAATCAATAAAAATATATTTTAAAAACAAACAAACAGGAAACAACAAGTGTCAGCAAAGCAACAGGGCTAAAAATCATGCAAGGACTAGGAAATAGGACCAGTTTTAGGATATGGAGAAATTGGAACCCTTGTGCACTGTTGGTGGAGTGTAAAATGATACAGCTGTGTGTAAAACAGTATGGAAGTTCCTCAAAAAATTTAAAATATAGAATTACCATATGACCTAGCAATTCCACTTCTGGGTATATACCCAAAATAATTGAATGCAGGGTCTTGAAGAGATACTTGTATAGCCACTTTATAGTAGCATTGTTCACAATAGGTAAAACGTAGAAGCAAAGTGTCCATTGACAGATGACTAGGTAAGCAAAATGTGGGATATGTATACAATGGGATATTATTCAACCTTAGAAATTCTGACATATGCTATATGGATGAACGTGAAGACATTATACTAAATGAAGTAGTCTTGTCACAAAAAATACTATATGATTCCACTTATATGAAGTAATTAGAATAGTGAAAATCATAAAGACAGAAAGTATAATTATAGTTGTCAGGGGCTGAGGGAGAATGGAAAGTTACTGTTTAATGGGTATAGAGCTTCAGTTTTACAAGCTGAAAAGAATTATGGGATGGATGGTGGTGATGGCTGCACAAGAATGTGAATGTACTTATTACATTCAATTAAAAATGATTAAGATGATAAATTTTATGTGTATTTTAACACAATAAATTTTAAAAATCAAGATGGAAATAAAATTCATATATTACAAAAAAATAGTAATGTGACCTAGCTACAGTTCCTCGTGCCTAGTAACTAGATTGATTTCAGGAATTTTACGTTTCCTTAGATTCTAGCTAAGGAGGGCTGTTGGAAGGGAATGAAGGGAAAAAGTATATGGGGAGGAGGTATTCTTCAATGATTCAGAGGCCAGATGTTATCTACTAACATTTCCCTTTTCATTTGGATTTTATTTTTCTGTTTAGGCATTTTTCAGAAATTGCTGTCTAACAATGACGTGCATGTCTGTCCTAGTCTTCTCCTCATACTGTGTCTGGTTCTCCCTTTCCAGTACTAATTCAGTTAGGTCGGGTGTGCATCTTTGTAATAATAGCTTCAATTCTGTTATTTGTCCTGTTTGACATTTTTTCGTACACCTGATTCCTTTTTTAAAATAATTTGTATTGAATTTAATGGGAATGACATTGATTAATAAAATTATATAAGTTTTTCGTGTACAATTCTATAATGCATCATCTGTATATTGTATTGTGTGTTCATCACCCAAAGTTAAGTCTGCCGTCACCATTTATCCCCCTTCACCTATTTCACCCAGCCCCCCAGCCTCCTCCCCTCCAACAGCTCTCAGTACAGATGATTTCTTAAAATGTTAATTATGCTACCCAGATTTTTGGAAGGTGGATGGAGGTTGTAATCCTGTGTAGAAATTTCCTCATCTTATATTCCTGTATTCTCTACTAGTAGCTGTTGAGTCTCTTTCTTTTATATTTTCAATTTATTCATTTCTCTATTTTTCTTACATTCTATGACTTTCTTTTCCTGTTAATAATCACCTTCCGTTGATCCATTTGTAAGTAGTCTACCTTCTTCCTTCTTGTCACCATCACTATTTGTGTGTAGACATATTAAATTCCTAAAACTGGTCCTATTTCCTAGTCCTTGCATGATTTTTCGTCCTTGCTGTTTTGCTTTATCTATTTAGGTTTTTCCAGTGAAGTCTTTGCTTCTCTGGCAGGTGAGGCTTATGTAATCGGGGCCCTTATAGTAAGAGATGTCATGTCACCTGGTCATGTCATCTACCTCTTCAGAAACCTCAGTGGGCTCTGTCTACCAAATTAAACCCAAATTCCTTTGCTTGGCATTCAGGGCCTCAGTCTACCTTTCCAGTGCTGTTACCTGTGTTTCATCCATGCTGAAGACTTAATATTTTCTGGACTTAGGATGTGTCCTTCCTTTTTTTAAAAAAAAATATATTTTTATTGATTTCAGAGAGAAAGAGAGAGGGAAAGAGAGAGAGAAATATCAATGATAAGAGAGAAGCATTGATGGCTGCCTTCTGCAAGCCTCCCACTGGGGATCGAGCCCAAAACCCGGGCATGTGCCCTTGACTAGAATCGAACCTGGGACCCTTCAGTCTGCCGGCTGACACTCTATCCACTGAGCCAAACCAGCCAGGGCAGATGTGTCTTTCCTTTTGCTTAAAATTCTTTCCTCTTTTTCTCCCAATAGCTTAATTTCAAAATCTTACCTATTCCTAAGGCCCAGCTCAAATACCACTTCTTTCATGAAATTTTGGTTTATCTTAACTAGACAAACCAAAGGAATCAGAATTTTAGAACTAGGAGGGATTTGGAACTTGTCTGTTCCATTCCTCTCGTTTTACAGGTGAGAAAATTGATCCCAGTGTCCCTCAGTTAATTAGATGTATTCCTTTCTGCCTGCAGACTCCCCCAGCCCCATGCCCGGACTTTTCATTTGGCTTTCCTGGCCTCCTTTGATGTGCCAGTGGACACCTCTTGTCCCATTGACTAGTTTATGAGCTCCTGGAGGCAAGAACTGCATCTTTCTCTTCTTCATACGTCTCAGAACACATAGTCCATGTGTAATGACAGTTTATTTAACTGTTGTTTAAAACTTGATTTGTAGATGACTAGTTGCAGCTTACTACTCTTTGAAATAATAATGCTACTGTTTATTGTGATTCTGCCTGTATTTAGAATGGCTCACTAGAAACCTTAATACACAAAAGAGAGTCTCAGGTATTTAAAATTCCAAGATTGTGAAAGTAAAGTAAATGATTCATCAAGACTTTTTGTTGGGTCATGCTACGCAGATACATATCTCTTAGTTAGTTATGTTTTAACCTGTGGTCACAAACTAGCAGTGTTGGGGAGTCCGGCCAGAATTAGACAGCCTGCAGGAATGTCGGCCTCCCCACCTCACATGTGAATAGGTTACAGGTTGCTGTAGAGCAAAGCAGGTCATATTTCAGAGAGTAAGACCACATTTTCAAGAATGTTTAGATAGCATTTCAATCTGTGATGGAATTTTGTATTCGTCTCCTTAGAATCCAGACAAAAAGGAAGCCCAGAAGAAATAATTGCTTTTCCTGTCATCCCCTCCATCTGTCTTTTCCAACAGTTTGTAATGCAAGTTGAACTAGAGACTTTTTTCTCAGGGAGCTTTTGAGTCCTATCCTTGTCAGCTCCTGAGGGTGAAAGCCTCGCTGTCCAGCCCTGGCTGCCGGGTGGTTTACTAAAGGGAGACTCTGTTTGACTGGCACAGACTGGGGAGAATTACGGATGTTCCAAAATACTGAGTTTTATAGGTCAAGAGGCCCCAGGTTTTCCCCTTTGCTGGGGCAGAGGAAAAGTTTCCTTTCAGAACTTATTTCCTAAACTTCTGAGGAACACTCGGGAGGGGAGCAGTAATATGGACAAAAGGAAGTTTTCCTTTAATAAATTTCATCTTGATTGTGTTCAGTCAGAACAGATGTATAAATAAGGGGAAAGTATTCACTTTACATTTATGGTGTCTTCAAAAGACATTTTTAGCAGAAAACATTCTTATTAGAAAGCAGTATTTCTGACTCAAAAATTATTTGTAGGAAGGGAGTAATTTAGAAATTGAAGACACAGTGAAGCAGTTTCTTTAGTTTCTTGACATTTCTGAAGTGCCAGCTGCCCGGTTAGTCCTCTGCGGCACATTTTGGAGAGCCTCGGATTGCTGGCCACCTCCTGTGTGGGTGGACTTGTGCTGGTCTAGTCTGTGACCTCTTCTAACCAGACTGTGACGCTCACACAGTTATTACAGCACTGGATTCTCCCCATTTTTATCTGTTGAAATCATCAGGCA